CCGTACGAGAGGCCTCGCAACCGCAGAACCAGGTACCCTAGACCAAGGTCCCAGTTGGCACCCGCTAACTGGAACCTTGACTAGGAGACTAGGAGAACCCGCGGTTGCTCCCCCCCCCCCCACGGCGTGGATGCAGAGGACCAGGAACCACCGGGACCAGGACCAGGACCAACCAGGACCAGGACCCGCCACGACCAGGACCCACCAGGACCAGGACCCTTCAGGACCAGGACCAGGAACAATATATAGGTAAGAGGACTTGAAACTCTTGATTTTTCGAAAACAAGAGTTTCAAGAGAACCTAGCAGACCCTCTATCGATGATCGCTTAACGACATCGATAGAATGTGCGAGGTAAAGGGAACCAACCCGGCGTTCCCAGAGACTGAAACACGTGAGGAGCCGTTGTAGCAGACCGCAGGTCACGCACAACACATGGCCTACCGAGACGCTGATGAGTCGGGCCACGCGGAGGTTAGGGTTTAGTGGGTATTAGGTGGTCTCCTCAAGACAACCTGGAGTCCCACACACGCCGTAGCTCGGGCTATGGCATGGTGCATAAACGCATTCCACCCTCACAAAAAAAAAAAAAATAGGAAAACACGTTCAAGATTTTTTTAAACTAGGATATTTCGGGGGATCGGACGCTGAACAAATTACGTCGAAAAATTCAAACATAGCATTTCGAGAAAATTTGCCTGGTGATTGCACTAATCGGAGTAGCATGAAAAATGCCTGTGTGATTGGTCTTCCTTCAGTACAGAATTACCTTCATCCATTATCCTCGATTTAAACAAGCTCGAAATTATGTTGTTTTCGACGACATCAGCTCGTAAAGTTAATTTACTTTCACATAATGACCGTGCGTACAACAAAACAACAAAACGGCAACATCGCTTGTTGGATAAGCCTGTTTTATGCAGCCCATGCATGTCGGTTCACGTCCTACAGACCCCCTCCCCGCTCTTTCAATTCTCTTCCTTACCACACATCGCTCTAAACATCAATTATTATTGTATCGGATGAATTCTGAACAGCTAACGGTAAACCAACCATGAACGTCCCCAGTGATTATTCTGTAGGGACTGGAAGTGATCAGCTAAATTAGAATATTCGCCTCTCGCCATTGGAATCTTGGTAACGGTTAAATGGGGGCAAAGTTGTGCATTTAGGTAACAAACAAAATGAAAGTTTCGCAATTAAGAGTATTGCCGGAGATAGAAAATAATAAAGTAGTATTAAATGTTTTGCTGGCTTGAGGTGGGAATTCAAAATTATTAACATTGTCTCTTCTTCTCCTCTACAAACCGGCATAATCGGGGTTTCAATATAACGTTTCGACTCTTGTCCTCAGTCAATAACTGTAGTTTTAATGGACGCTATATTGGATTTTGATGGAACATACATTAATATTATAAAACTATAATCAAAAAGAAATTCAGTTATCAGACAGTCATTTGCTTCATAATACAGGGTGTAAACGTTATAGTAGTCATTATTGAAATGGGTAATAGGGGAGGTCAAAACGAGTCAAAAAGTTCATATGACCCATGGTCCAAAAGTCAATAAGGTTTTTGTGTAAATGGATTTATATCGACCACAATCTTACTACTTTTTTTTATCTAATCTAAAATGTTTTTATATTATCTAATTAACAAATAAATTGCATTAAGTGTTTCTAAGTTAAGCCAAAATGTGTAGTCAGTAAGTAAGTAAGATTCATTGAATTAAATATTTAAATCACACATGACAACAGCGCGTCGTCATCACTCCTATCGAAGCGGCAATCGATCGCAAACTGTAACAGTGGTTAGTTATCGGACCTGTCGCGCCTGTTGTTTTGTTTTTGTTCGCGTACGTCGTCGTCTTTATTTACAATGTTCTCGAATCAACAGTGGGCCGACATGTTCTTAGTTTACGGTGAAGCTCGTCAGAATTCAAATCTTGCAGCTCAAATTTATCGTGACAGATTTCGCCAAAGGGTACACCCAGACAGAAGGACATTTGTGCAAGTGTACCAAAGGCTTCGAGATACAGGAAGTGTTCAGCCCACTAATATTCGCACTCGTGAAAGACAGGTTACTATAGAGCAGGAGGAACAAATTTTAAATATCATGGAAATCAATGCAGATATCAGCACTCGGGAATTAGGCCGCCGCGTAGGACTATCGCATACCATAGAATCCTACGGAAAAATTTGCTTTATCGCTACCTTGTACAAAGAGTGCAGGCCTTGTTACCAGAAGACTATCATCGCAGACTAACATTCTGTCAGTGGTTTTTGCACAAAAATATTGAAAATCCTGATTTTTTAAAAACATTCTAGTGACGGACGAATGTACTTTTACGCGAGACGGGATATTAAATTTCCATAATACTCACACGTGGACCCAAGAAAATCCTCAAACCGTTCGTGAAGGTCATTTCTAACAGCGTTTTAAAATAAATATTTGGGCGGGTATTCTTGACGATCAGGTAATTGGCCCTTCCGAGTTACCCCCAAAGTTGTCAGGAGAAGGATACCTTAGCTTTCTAGCCAATAACCTACCAGAACTTTTGGAACAGACCTTAGACAGCATGCCATTACAACGGAGACCGAATTTGTGGTTTCTTCATGACGGGACACCACCACACATTTTTAGAGGCGTCATTCAGTATTTGAATAAACATTATCCAAATCGCCAGCAAGATCTCCTGACCTCAATCCGATGGATTTCTGGTATTGGGGAGAACTTAAAGGGATGGTTTGTGGGGCTGGTCCAATAACAACTGAAGCAAAACGTCGCGAAAAAAATTTTAATGCGGCTGAAATAATAAATGGACAACTTCGAGGACGTAGAGTAAGAAGAAACTGGGTTCGTCGTAATGAAGCTTGTGTGGAAAGTGGAGGACGACATTTTGAACACCTTCTTTAAATACAAAAAAGTGCAGTGTGGGTTTTAAAAAGAAAAACAATGTATGTATCAAAATTGCGTTCCCTATTTTAAGTGGATTTTTTTAATACGTTCAATAAACTTTCACACACGAGGTGAAGTGCTGAGACAGTTAGTGGCAAGTCCGTTTTTTTTAATTGTTTGCATTTTACGAGTATATTATCAAATAATGAAATAATACCTAATAGCAAAAAATAACAAACTCCATCTTTATTTACACTGCGTTCCGTCGTAATTTGCGCCTGGCATTGCGGCGTTGTCAGATTTTATTTTACTTTAATGTTGTTTTCTCTAAAAAAATGCCGTTATATGAAACTCTTTGCTTCTTTTAACCCACTCTATCACCCATTTAAATCATAACTTTTACACCCCGTATACTCAATGACATTAGGAAGTGTTACACCCAGAAAAAATAATTTGATCAACTTGATTTTTTGGCAATGAGGTAGTCTTACTTCCAGAATGAAACGATAACATTGTCACGAAATTTTAATGACAAGAAATAAGAAAAAACAATAATGTGTTGGAAGACCCCGCAGCTGAATACACTCCTGTATACGTCTAGGCATCGACAAAATGTGATGGTCGATGTCTGGTTGTGGCAGAGTCGTAGCGTATGGTGCAAAATCGATAGTTTCCTCCCTATCATATCGTACACACGTTCGATGGGATTTCAATCCGGTGAACGGGAACATTTCGAAAAAGGTAAACAAAAAGAAAGATAAAAAGTTGATATTGCCAAAAAAAAAGTTGAAGAAATTATTTTTTCAGAAAAGTCACAACCCTATTTTTCATATTATTATATTAGAAGCCGGCAATGAAAACACTGAAAACGGTATAACATTAAGACACTGGCAGAATCATCTTAAAGTAAGAACCTCGACTATGTTGCAGGTTACATTTCATATCCTTTATATCCAAACCGATGCATTCATCTTTTAAGTAATACTAATTTACAGCTGAGGTGTCATGTAAAATTATGCTTGTTATTGACCATAATTTGCAAATTATCTAAATGTCCTTTAAACACTCTCCTCGAAAACATGTCATATTCAATAAGTGGTGTAATTAAATAAACATTCGATAAGCTGTCAATTTAAAGGCCGTGTATAAAAATACTAGTTGTATTTTTGAAATTGGTCAATAAAAAATTTATGGTAGAAGACAAGAGACGAAATGTCAATGAAATTCTAATTAGGTTTCCTTGTAGAGGAGCGAAAACATCCTACCTTATTGAAGGCAGAAAAAAAATGTTTAGGTAAGTTATTTTTTTTTCTAAAAGTCATTTATTTTCTTAATTATCTGAATGTGCAAGTTTATCACAATTTTACCGACTTCGTATCTTCTACCTATCAGAGACCCCAATAGCGATAGTCAAATTTGAAGAACCTGGTAAATGAGCTTCAAAAAATGGATAAATTAGTATGCCTAGTTTCTGCAAATTCCAAGAAAGGGCCCCAGGTACACAGGAGCTTGGGGCCAGTGCCCTACTTTGACGTTGAAATAATTAAAGAGAGGGCGGTACTCAGTTTGGAAGTTTTGCTTGATTTTTGGGCACTTGGTTGTCTCGATTAATCCATGCCCTGGGCACGTGCCCCTTCTATAGGATAATGACGAAATAGCATAACAAATATGTTGCTAAATCGAGAATCACACTTGCTTTGGAACTACCCAACTGTCGTATCAATCTGAGAATCCATTCTGGCGGAACGATGGCCTTCTATAGCTTAAGGGAAACACAGATGGGATGCATCACCACCTTTTTGAATAGTCTGAAGGAGCTGACTGACTGTCCGGACCTGAGTGACGCTTGGGGTCGACGTGCAAGAGATCCAATGGGGCCTAAGTGCTGTGATCTTGGTTATTATTCTATACAGAATATAGAATTTTGCTAAGTCGTTTCTCTCGTCTATTCTTCTTTGACTGTCAGAGCGACCCGTATGACTTCCTTCTTGGTTAAACTGCCAAGTCTAACTGATCAGATACTGCGCAATGTCAAAAAGAAAAAAATAAGTTATGAGAAAGGAAAGAAGTGAAAGGGCAAAGATGATCAACTAGGATGTAAATTTTGATGCCGATGATCTGATACTTATCTTTCCACAGATTCACAGCAATAACAATTCTGTCAACAGAAATACCAAGGCATTTGTGTTTTTAATAAATATTTTGTTGATATAGGTGAGCAAATAACAAGTCAGATTGATCAATACTCAATTCTTGATACATCAGATCCTCATGTCGTCAACATTGCTCACTCTATGTTTCTAACTCCAGTGGATAACATAGAGTTACAACAAATAGTTTGTAATCTGAAAAATAATAGCGCACCCGGAAAAGATGGCTTACACACTAAAACTATCAAGATGATCATGAAGTATATCAGTCACCCTATAACTCACATTATCAACCTCTGTTTCAAATCCTCAGTAATGCCTCGCCAATTTAAAGAAAACATAGTGACACCAATATTTAAATCTGGAAGTAAAGACAATATGTTCAATTATAGACCTATTTCAGTTATCCAAATGTATTTGGGAAGATTTTTGAGAAGTGTTTAAATAACAGACTTTGTTCTTTTCTTGAGAAATATGACATAATATCGAACTGTCAATTTGGGTTCCGCAAAAATTGCAATACAGAGCAATCTCTACAAGAACTTACAGGACAAGTGCTTGAAAATTTTCAAGATGGAAATAAGACTGTTGCAGTTTTCCTAGATCTTCAAAAGGCTTTCGATTCAGTATCTCATACACTTTTATTAAAGAAACTAGAAAGTGTTGGAGTGCGTAGCGGAGTGCTGAACTTATTTGAGAACTATTTGGCTGATAGATTACAACAAGTTAAGGTAGGGTCAGATTTAAGCAACATTCAACAGATCAAAATAGGTGTGCCTCAGGGGACGGTTTTGGGACCAACACTGTTCCTCATATACATAAATGAGCTACTTCGATGTAATTTCAACTGTAAAATGATATCATATGCAGACGATACTGTTTTAGTTTGCACTGGTCATTCATGGGATAACGCAATACGGAATGCCGAGTTGTCATTAAATAAAGTCAAATGCTGGTTGGATAACAATTTACTTAAACTTAATATCTCTAAAACTAAGTATGTAACGTTTTCTCCAACCAAAGCAGGCATGCCATTACACCACCGAACATTAATTATAAATGATAGTGCTGACACTGTCGAAAGAGATGAAGTTATTAGATACTTAGGAATCACTATTGACAGTAATTTAAAATGGCAGAGTCATGCCGAGCTTTTGGCATCGAAATTAAGGAGAACTATTCATAAGTTTTTCATTCTTAGGAATATTTTAAGCAGAAAGAGTCTTCTCTCAATATATAACTCGTTTGTGGAGTCTCTACTAACTTAAGGGATAAGTATTTGGGGAGCTGCATACACTAGTACTTTAAAAATACTACAAACCACGCAAAATTATATTGTCAGGACTATTTTTCGTATCCCATGTAGGTCAAGTTGCATATTTGTTTACATTGAAAATGATCTTTTGAATGTTAGAGGTTTATATATTTTTGCTGCTCTAAAATTTGTTCACTCCCGAAACAATGTTCCAACCAGCCACGCTTATAAACAAGAACTAAAATAAATATAAGTTACACCTCTATACCAGAGTGAATAAATCTGTTTGCCAAAAATGCATAAAGTTTGATGGTATTAGGTTGTATAATAAATTACCCCTAGAATATAAAATCCTCTCGAAGTATAGTTTCAAAAAAAGAATTAAGAAGTTCATCTTAAATAACTTTGACCTGCTTGCATCGACGGTAGCTTGACTCAACTCAGTAATTTCGTTTCTATCTAATGTTTTTTTTTATTTCTTTTTTTTTATATACATTTGCTCATAATATACCTTATAACCATTAGCCATGCATTGAATTTGTATATTGTATGGTACACACAAGCTTATAGCTTAGGTGTCTATTCTTTTGTAGTAAATTCTTTTGTAGTAAATTGTAGTACTCTTGTTTCTCTGCTTAACCTTTACGCAAAATTTTTATTGTTTAAACAACATAGTTTGACCTTACTCGAAATATCCCTATATTATCATATTTCAGATATTCATATTTTATGTACTCTATATTTATACTTCTGAGTGTTTTTAGTATATTGTTATGAATTTTAGATTTGTTTATGCAGACACGTAATTAAGGATTTGTGACGACAAGATTCACACATTTACCCTTTACGAAAGTATACAGAATTTTCACAATTCATATACCGTTACTTGCTGGTTCTAGATCTGATGCTAGTATCTTTGCTCAGATTTCTGTTGCAATCTTGGTTATTCAGGGTAGCAAGAGTATACAAGCTCATGTATTTTTGAAGCTTTATTTATTTAAATTGTACTGAAGGTTGTTTTTTAATTTGTAAGTTATATTGGTTTTTGAATTTGAATAAACTTTGAATAAACTTTGAAACTTTGAAGAAGGACTTATTTGAGGCTGTTCTTTACATAATATAATTTTTTGGATTTTTTGGAATAAGAGGTTTCAGACACCCTTTTTAGAAAAAGGGGCCTCCTCCGCTCAAATTCCTTTGGATCTCCTTCAATGAGGAGACTTGCGTGGATCTCTTTGGATTTACTTGAAAGTCCTTGGATCTCCTCGGCAATAACAACTCTGTGAGCATTTCTGTGTTGACAGAAATATCAAGGCATCATTTGGTATCGTAGTCCGGAGTTCCATCAAATTGTTTCCTGACAAAGGGTCTAAATCGTGGAACAGCAAGGTCGATGTTGCATAAGGCCAAAGCCAAAGAGGGTTATAATAAGAAGTTTCAGACACCCTTCATTAAAAGAAGGGTCTCCTCCGCTCAAATTCCTTTGGAGCTCCTTCAATAAGGAGTCTTGCGTGGATCTCTTTGGATTTACTTGAAAGTCCTTGGATCACCTCGAATCAGTAGACTTAACAACTATATGAAACATGGACGACAAAACATGCCACGAATCTGCTTGGAGTGCATCAGATCTAATTGAAGTGCCTCAACTCATCCGTATACTTGGATATAAAACTGTGACCAGCACTCTCCTAAGCTGCGGTTCACTATTTTGGCTCCACAGGACATTAACAAGCTCAAGCCCTAGGCCCAAAGCCAGATTCACCTTCCAAAAGAACAAATCTTAAGGCCTAGTTAACAGATTAATTTGTCAAGAATCTGTTTTCACAATCTGATTACAGCCACGAGATTGAAAAAGGGTTATTTTCAGGTTGAAATTGGAAAAACCGTCTTGTACATTCAGGCGCTTCGTCATCTGTTACGGAAACATCCCATTAGCCTCAGTGCTCCGGGTCCTTGAAATGAAACGTTGTTCTATTGTTACCGGTAAATTCATTTGTTCGCTTCACGGCATACCTGGATTTGTGGGTCGATGAGCGCTTACCGTGAAAAAATGTAGCGTCTACAAAAAAAAAGAATAATAACGCTTTGCCTGGAAGCTATTGTGTGAGATGATGGATGAACGAAGCTTTTCGTAAAATGCTTAATGGTTGCTTTTATTACTAATTACCTTTTGTTTTACTTTTTGGCCTAATGTTCCATTTCGAAGTTTTTGTTCGGTGTTTTTTTAACGAAGCAATTACTAATTTGAGAGTATTGTACTTTGAGTTTTGTTGACCGAGTAAAATTTCGATACTTTTTGGACGGGGCGAGGTCATTAGTTTGAATTCTTGAATGTTGTATTATAGATCAATAATTCTACCTATATGTTCATTGTGTTGTGACTGATGGTTCCTCCTATTCACACTAGCAAAACCAAGAGTGTTCCCCAAGGATCGGTTATGGGTCTAGCGTGGCTTCTGATTCTCATTAATGACCTTTGTTGCATGATAAATCCGATTCAGAGTGTTATGGCGATTTCTGCAGTCGACGATAGGAGAAAAACCTGGATATTTTTGCTGCATTTTAGGTTTGTCCAAGCAGTCCATGTTCTGATTTATTTTAACAATGTTCGGTGTTCTGGCATCTGTATTATTTGTTCTTGAAGATGTACGGTCTAAACATTTATGGCTAGGCGTCAGGTTAATAGTTGGAGGGAACATTTAGGATGTTTTGTTTTCTGGTTTGCCTTTATCCTTGTTTGGTTTGCATTACCGTTTTTTGGTTAGCATTTGAAACTAAAAATTTTAAAACATAAAGTGAAGATAACTTCATTTTTTGTGCATCTATATTCTACTCCTTTTCCATTTCATCATAATTCCGTGATCGGCAAAAACCAAACGAGCATCGCAACACAAACCCATGTGCAAAATTGGCGTTTTATTGGTTATGAAGGGTAAGCAAAACATTTATTTACCAATCTCGTTGAAAAACAGCAACATGGAATACTCGAACAGCTTATCGATATGATTTTAATTTCTTGTGTCTTCAAAATTCTACCGAGGCTTCGCGAGTATATGCAGATCGCTTTTTCAGGTCCGAGAGGATTTGTTTACCTTGTGCAAAGAACTAGGGATGCAGGAAGTGGACACAGTGGCAGACCTAGACAACCCCAAATTGTGCAAACTGCAGAAGAATATTGGAGAAGAAAATCTTGTAAGACTAAAGCATGGCAAGCGCTGTGTGCTGATGGATTGTGCCCTTTTGAACAAGCCCTCCAAGCTTAGGATTTTCCTGGAAGAGTGCATTTGTGAGCGGTTGTTGCAATCCATATTAGTCACGGAAAAATCAATCTTCACGCGTAACGGGGTAAATAACTACCGAAACACTCATGTATGGTCATTGGAAAATCCTAACATGGTTCGTCGGTCACATTTTCAACAATCATTTTCTTTGAATATTTGGGCTGGCATGGTGAATGGTTGGAGGGTTTAGAACATTGATGTTCTACGAAACATTTTACCAACGGCGAAAGAGCACTTATAAGTGACAAGCCGTACTTGAAATTTCTTTGCAAATGAACGGAATCTTTTAATTTTTTTTTTTACTTTTTTGATACTGTTTCACTTTGTTATTTCATCGGTTTTGATAAGGAAAGTCCCAACTTTCAGAACATCATGTACATTTTGAACATGAATTGAACATTTCTTATTCAAACCGACCATCACACTTTCCTGAAATATTTAGATATCTGAAACAGAGCCAGTCGCTTTGTAACCCCCGTCAATCGATTTCGAATTAATCGACTATCCTGTTTGTCGAACTAATAGAGCGGGAAGCGTTAGTGACATTACAGGAGACGGAACTGGGAGGGGAATGGATGATCGGATGCGATGCATTGCTGTTTGGATTGCCAACTTGATTAATTAAGATGCACCACTCCACGAGGCAAGGTGAAGCAGGAATCGCAACCGCTTGCGCAACTCTGGGGATATTGAGGATGTAGATTGACTTGTCACTAGGTGGGTTTGAGTTTCAGAAGCAGGAATGTTTGTTTAGACTGTAATACTGATTTCTTGGAATTGATGAGTTCATTACCATCATTCGAGGAAACGAAACTCTCGATAAAAGTAATTCTAGCATTTTGTTATTGACCATGTATATTGGATACTTGGAGTGCTAGTAAAGCACAAATAATACTGAGAAAAAAATGGCGTTAAGTTAGTTG